CAAAAGATGATGCTGATGAAGAGGAACAACAACAACAACAACAACAATAATAATAATAATAATAATAATAGTAATGTTTCCCCCCCTCATGCGTCCCATTTCTCACACTGTTTATATGTTTATTTTATTTGTGAATAACACAGTGTGTGTTTCTTACAGATATGCCCCTTTCCAATCTTCACCCGTTCAGGCGAAGTGAGTGTGAGGCTAGAATTGTCGGGATCAGCCGTGGTTCTCACACCTGATAAGCTGGAGAAGATTGTCACGTTCCTCAACTACACCTTTACCAGTGTTCTGAGACTGCAAAAGTATCTCATGATGTTCGATCCACAGGCATCGGAGAACTCGTACTTCATAGTGCCAACCAGAAAACGTAAGCGTCACATGTAGTGTTCATGATTTTGTTTTATTTTTTAACCCTTTCACCACCATCTTGGATGCATCACTTCAGTGTTGCAGAAAGGGATGCTCTGCTTTATTAACAGAACACTTCGCGCTGTGTAGGTCTTTAATATGAGTTACATGCAGTTTGGGTTTAAAGATTAAGTTATATACAGAATATCATAGAGTGTTAAAACAGTACATCTATTGCAGGTATACACAGCAACACACCATTAAAAAAATGCTGTTTATGTTACTGCACTGTGGCACGCTTTACTGAAGTGAAAATACACTAAGGAATATAATAACATTATTGTGCGACGTTTGTACAGGAACAGAATGTAGCTTTTGGTGTCCAGTGTGAATACATGGTGGTGTAGGTTTTCCTGGTCAGTCTCTCCTGTACAATTTTGCAGGTAGCAGTGTAAGTTGCTGTGTGCTTGCTGATTGGGACCGACTGCTGGCAGTGCAGCTGGCTGTTACTTTGTCACGTTGCCTAGACTTGCTCTGGAGCCTGCCTAGCATAGTATTTCAGCTTCAAACAGATGAAACGCCGATTCTGTTTAAGTTAGCATGAATTGTGCCAAGGAAACTATTACTAATTATTAGACAAGATTTTTGTTAATGAACTGTGTGTTCAAATAAATACATGTATTATTGTATAAGGAGGTGGGTGAAGAGTTGAAAATTATTTTATAAAATTTAACATTTTAAGGACCAAAATTTCTGTAAAAATCTTTATAATATTTTTACAAATATTTTGAAACTTCAAAAATGCAGTGATATTCTCTTCCAGTTAAAGGGAGTGTAGCAGAAGTGGACTGGGGTTTTCTTGATTGCATATATGAAAATCGAGACCTACGACCTCGCCCAGTACCAGAAGAAGAAAGGGTAAACTTCACATTTGAGGCAGCAAAGTATCATGACGCCGTTATCATGCCTTGGTACCGGAACCAGGATCGGCCACAGGTAGGTTCATTGGTTTCATACTTTTTTAAACGATATTAGTGGTTACATGTTTTGAAGTCTTTTGGAGGGGGTGAAGTTAGCCATATCAGTCCATTCAATTCTGACATGGCCAACTGCATTGAGAAGATTTCATTGCATTTGTTAAACTGTTCCTGCATTCATGAAATTCGGCCTGAGACAGTTCATCAGGTTCCAATATATTTTGGAAACAAATAAAAGGAGACTTGTGAGAGGGCCCAAGAAAGTAATTGGCAAAACTCAGACTTTCATCATTGTTTATTCATGTCTGCCATATGAGTTCTCTCTGGGTCCTACAAGCTTGGGAATTTCCCCATCATATTTCTTAAATTGCACCTGTGGAGTCTGTCTTAATTGCTTTTTATTTACAGTACTTCTATGTTGCTGAAATCTGCGGACACTTGAACCCAAAATCCTCATTCCCTGGCTCTGAGTATAAAACATTTGACGAATATTACTTGAAGAAGTACAGCATTCATATCCAGAGCAGCACGCAGCCACTGCTGGACGTGGATCACACTTCAGCCAGGCTCAACTTCCTGACGCCGAGGTAAACCTTTCTATAACCTTATCAGAAGTGAACTTTGTTTTTGTGTCAGTAGATTCATTACATCTATTCCTCTGTAACATTGTTTGCAGGGCTGCTGAATCATTCTGATCTCCTTTGTTAAGAAAATTGGTTTCTCTAATTCCATTTTCCACCTTTGCCCCTACCACAATCACAGGATATGGCACCCCTGCTTTTAAGTAACCTCATGATACATGGCATCAGTACTTAAGAATATCTTGCATAGATTGCAGCACCAGTCAGTTCCTGGGTGTTACTAGAAAGTGAAAGAAATTGCATGTTTAATGTAAAATGATAATTCTCACACCCCTGCACAAGCTGTGTGCAAGTTCTACGATTCATGGCTTCCATTTTAAGTGTTTACTAACGCAGCACACACTCAGATGATGAAGTTTTTCTGTAGAGCCAGTCCACAGCATATGTGAACAGGGAAAACACTAAATGCCCATGTAATAAGGATACACCTTGCTGCATAGTAATAATACTTATACAATGATATATCCTAGACAACATATGAAAGAACTAGGAATGGTGCACCAATCTTTGTACATACTCATATTTTACATATAACAATGCACCCTCGGGCATAGTACTGTTCAAAGTGGACATGTTCTGTGTAACCCAACCTGATTAATTACAAGGACATAATTTCTTAATACTAAAACTTTAATATTTGACATATTTTAATGTGCATTAATTTTAGCTGTATGGCATATATGCGGGTGTACTGTATGACTGTTATGCATTGCGCCAATATGGATCCATATTAACTACAGACATATTTGTAGAACTACTTGATGATGGTCCTGTGAGGATCAAAACATGTAGTAGCCACTGAAATAAATCAATTATTGAGAGTTACCTAGGCTTATTTAATTAAATATTGTTTTGTCAATGGCCAGCCCTTTTTAAAAATCTGCAGCAGTTCTAATTTCAACTTGCATGATCACACCTTAAATATGTCCCAAGTTGTTTAATGGGATGTGTATAAAAGGAAAAACAAAAGAGCTATTAATATGAGCTTTATTTTTCTTTCTTACTAGTTGTGCTCAAAATTGCCTCTGTGTTCACAGACACACAACTCAGCTCTCCATGAAAAACAGGCTCTTGAAGATTTTAATGTGTTCCACTTGCAGATTGTTGATTTTGGTGCCACAGTTCTCATGTACTGACTGTAGTGGCATTGGTGACATTGGTTTTAAAATATCCCAGAAAGAAAATTTGAAAGGATCCAAGTGAAGTGTGCATGCAGGCCAGGGAAATGGAGGTTCCCATCAATGACTAATCCAGGATAATTTTGGGACAGCCATTGACGCACTTTACGAGTGTAATATGGTGGAGCCCCAACGTGTGAAGACATATATTGAAGGACACATCTTCCACTAGCACACTGAACTATGTTCAAAGAAAATTAAGGGAATCATGCCCACTAACTTCTGCTGGTAAAATGTCAGGTCCTGTGAGGCATTCACCAGTCTGATGGAAATCTGTCACTGCTGGTTGTCTGTTTTTCAGAATGTGACGGCATGACCTGGCATTTTCTAATGGTTATAACTTTTCAAGGAAGACCCTCTAACTAACTAAACCAACTTCATGGAGTTGAGTTCTTCTTGAGAAGCTGCCAATTGTGCTTCTACTCTCAAGAACTTTCCAGCATTTTATGGAACTGAAAGGTTCATTACTGTGTTCACAAGAGACCTCAAGTGGTCCCTGTCCTGAGTCAGAGCAATCCAGCCCATACCACCCCATCCTATCGCTCTAAGATCCATTCTAATATTATTCTGCTCCCTTATATATAGGCCCACCTAGTTGTCTGTCTCCTTCTGGCTTTCCCACCAATATGCTATATGCATTCCTCTTCTCCATTCATGCTACATGCCCTGCCCACTTCATCCTCCTTGACTTGACATTCTAATTATACTTGGAGAACAGTACAAGTTATGAAGCTCCTCAGTATGCAGTTATCTCCAACCTCCTGTCACTTCATCTCTCTTCAGTCCAAATATTCTCCTAAACACCCTCAGTCTATGTTCCTCCCTTAATATCAGAGACCAAGTTTTGCACCCATACAGAACCACAGGCAAAATTATAGTTTTGTATATTCTGATTTTTATATTTCTAGACAGCAGGCGAGAAGACACAGGAAGACCCTCAGTGTACATGATTTATATGAACTGTTCTCATTTTGATGGCCGGAAACCATGCTGTAAAATGCAGCATTCAGTAGTGGGACACAATATAACAAGCAACTTGGAGGTGGGGGAGAGTCAGCAGTATAGGTCAGAGGACAATAATCAGATTTGTCTTAAAGGAACAGGTTGTCAAGACTATGGGCGTAGTTTGGAGAGAACCCAAAATTTTGGAGAAATGTGTCACCTCAACAATGGGACACTGCAGCAGTTTCTTCCTCTGTCAGAAGCTGAAATCCAGGGTCTCCTTCATCCAGCTCAAGCCAATCTTGCGTATTTTCTTGTGTGGTTTCTGTCTCTGCAGCTGCCCTTAACACAGTCTGAAAATCCTCTTGCTCCTAAATCCCATGTGTCTTTTAAAGTATGTACTCAACTGTGAAAAGACTTTCATTTCTCATATTTTGATCCAGATTAAATAGATAGGGTTTACTGTATTGACCGTTGGAAGGACTCATGTCTTATTGGCATTTGCAATAGAAGTCTTCTTTCTGGGGATTCTGTTGAGAATGCCTTCTTGTGCTTACAGTTATTCTGATGGTGCACGTTCATTATGTAACAATAATTGCAGGTACGTCAATCGCAAGGGTGTGGCTCTCCCAACGAGCAGTGAGGAGACGAAGCGTGCAAAGCGTGAGAACTTAGAGCAGAAGCAGATTCTGGTACCAGAGCTGTGCACACTTCACCCATTTCCTGCTTCACTGTGGCGCAAGGCTGTGTGTCTGCCATGCATTTTGTACCGCATAAATGCACTGCTCCTGGCAGATCAGATTCGGCGAGAAGTTGCCCTTAGTATCGCCCTCGGGCATGAGGACGTCAGCCCAAGTGAGAACCTTGCTGCTTCTATATGCTTGATGGCTAATGCCCAGAGTAACTTTTCATACAGAAAAAGTTGTATGTCCCTATGGACACTGTAAGGGCACACCATGCAACCTGTTTTAGTCGTAGCTCTTCTGCAGTTAAGGTGCATATGTGAAGTAGTTTGATACCCTCGCAGACTCCCTCAAGTGACAGCAAGTGCCTGCTGTTGCAGTGTTACCTTATTTCTATATTTTCCTTGGCGTACGTCTTTGAATAAAATTCATTTTTTGGTCACAGGAACCCCACAGAAGTTTACAAGTTGTAGTAAAGGAATCTGACACTTTTTAAAAGGCATGATGTTGGCAATCCCTGAGAATGAGTTGGCAGGTATCAGTTCATTTGCTAACTTAACATTTCGCGGACTGGCGATTTAAATATTTAAATCACCCTGGGGACTGGCATTTTTAAACCTACTACCCTAACTTGTGCACTGTTCACTTTAAAAATTAATATAAAATCTCCTAATTAATTTTTTGAACTAAAATTTTTGGAGAACACTTACCAATGCTCCTAGAAGTGCTTGAGAGTGTGATATTTCTGGAAACGTTCCTTCTTGTGAAGTGGCGAATGTAGACAATCGTACTCCTTTTGTTGTGTACTGCACAAACATGGCATTGCCTAGAAGGCTGCTTCCCTTTGGAATGTTCACTCTTCACAATTTTCATGAGGGTACATTTCCGCATATCACCCGAGAGTCGCCCAGGGGTGTCCACATGAGGATTGCATGGGATGGGAGTTGATGGGCCCGGTTGCACCAAGTCTGTGTCTGACTCGGGTTCTGCTGCCACCATCTGGTCTGTAACCCAGGCCTTTGCCACATTCATCAGAAATGCTTTGTATTTCAATTTCGAATCAGGGTTTAGATTTTTGTAAACCAAAAATGAATTGAAAATGGCACAATTTATAAGCCACAAGGCAACTTTCTTTGTCCACTTTATTGTTTTCCTAGGAAGAGAATAATAGGCCAAGTGTTGATCGGCTATATCAACTCCCTTCATGAACATATTATACTCAGAAATACAAATAGGCTTCTTTACTTGCCCATGTCTCCTTTGAACATCAACCATGCTCGAATTGTGAATTGTGGAAATCATATTCACAACAGGAGTATCCCTATCTTCAAAAAACAGTTCTTCTACTTCACACACTTGCATTGGGTCCGATGGAATTTGTTTCACCCCTGGATTTCCAGTAAACTGTCCCAAAGTAGGCATTTTGTCTACTTTTCCCCATGTGGCTGACCCTGCAATTTTACTACCTGCACTTTCGTCAGAGCTACTTTCACTTTTATTGTCTGTGGCCACAATTGTTTGTTGTCCCCTGTCACTGCCACTGTCTGAATCACTATCACTACATGTCTCAGAAGGAACGTCAGGTCAGATAGCTCGTCGCAGAACAAGTCAGATATTTCTTGCTTTTCAACTGCTTCTGTCCTTGACTCATTGCACTACTAACTTCTTGCCTGGTACATAAGAGCTTGAAGGGTCAAAGATCACTTTTCTTTGGAGGGGGAACCCAAACAGCGAGATCAAGTTACTGCCTACTAAGCACCTACTAAGCACACATTCCAGAGTAATATTACACAGTAGTCATTTCATTTGGATGGCCCCAGAGAAAGGTATAGTGTGTTTCAACATAATGTGTCCTAAAATCATAATAATATGCCACCGGTCCGCCACATTTAAAAGCGCTGGGCATAAAAATATGCCACCGGACCACAGAGTGTTAACTGATGCTGTTACAGTAGCCATGGAAAGCAGTGGAGTGCACAACATTGTGCATTTGTTGTTGAAACTTTTTTAAAAAATTGTGCCTTTTTTTGTGAAATTGCAGCAAATATTTCGCAGGCATTTCAATATTGCTTGTCACAGAGAAGTTCTTTATCACAATACCATACAGTTATGGCAGAAAACTTCAGAAAGAATACTTCCATATTAAAAAAGAAACCACCAGACAGTGTGCATCCAGTATGATCACCACAGAAGATTGAGGCTGTGAGGCAGTCATTCATAAGGAGTCCTAGGTGCTTAGTCAGGAGATATTCTGTTGCTCTAGGAATTTCTGATTGCAGCATGAGGAGAATTTTACAGAAGGATCTGAACTTCCATCCATACAAAATGGTGGTGGTGCAAGAGTTAAGCAATCATGACATGGCAAACAGTAGTGCAGTAGCTGAGTGTTTAATTGGAACTTTGTCCAGTGATGTCATTATCCTTATGACAGATGAAGCACACTTCCACTTATCTGGTTGTGTCAGCAAACAGAATATTCACTATTGGGCAGAGGAGAATCCCCAGCAGCTCCCTCAATGGCCTCTTCACAGTGCACACATGTCTGCTGTGGAGTGGTAAATTTTTGAGTCTGGCCCATATTTCTTTGAAGACGAAAATGGGCATGCAGTTATAGTCACATCTGCTTGTCATGTTGAAACGTTAATGGAAGTTCCTCACACAAGAACTGAGTCATTGAGGAATTGAGCTCGCAGATGTATGGTTCCAGCAAGATGGTGCAACTGCCCATACAGCAAGAGAATCCATGAAATCCAGGAAATGTTTCTGGAGTACATTATTGCAGTGCGTGGCAAGCTTCCATGGCATGCACATTCACCTGATCTCTCTGTCGCTGATTGTTTCCTTTGGGGTGTACCTCAAAATGAAAATGTACACCAGTAGACCATGGACCATCAGTGAACTGAAGTTCGCAGTTTGGAAGCAGATTTCAGTGATACCAGAAAACATGACTAGGCGAGTAATGGGCAACTTGCAAGCAAGGTTGGAATTGTGTGTATACAATGGTAGCCAACATCTTAGTAATGTCCCATTCAAAACGAAATAAAGAGAGACATAAGGAAGTGTATATGGAATTATATGGCATTCAGTGTTCATTTTGTAATAATAAATTAATCATTCCTGCTTTATGTACTTTTGAAAATTGTCAGGTTCCTTTGTCACACCCAGTATAAAGCTGCAGTCATCTGATAACAGGATCAAATTGTAATGCAGTAAATGCATACACTTCAAGTGCTTTAGAGACACGGGTGTGGCGATTTGGACAGAGTGCCCATCCATGCCTTCATGATGATGTGAGGTAACTAACAGTGGGTTAAGAACTTGCAACAAATTGTGCAGACAAACAATGAAATATATTGAAGAATGCAGTCTTCTGGGATTTGGCACCGTGTATATGTGGTGTTAACCGACGTTTCGGAGGAACGTATCGCCCCCATCTTCAGGGTTGAAGAAAAAGTATAAGTAAATCTGCAAGCGACAACACCGTGAGACACGATAAAGCAGTCTGCTTTATCGTGTCTCACGGTGTTGTCGCTTGCAGATTTACTTATACTTTTTCTTCAACCCTGAAGATGGGGGCGATACGTTCCTCCGAAACGTCGGTTAACACCACATATACACGGTGCCAAATCCCAGAAGACTGCATTCTTCATAGTCACCGCCGTGAAAGCCTCAAATCTTACATAATGAAATATATTGATATGTGGAAGTAATTTGTGTGACTAAGGTCCCTTCATTTGAGTTTGGAAATTTTAACTCACTGGTTGTTATTTGTCCTAAAACATTCCAAGATTCATTTCTGTGGCACAAATATAATTTATTCTCCCTGCCTTCCTTAATAATCCATATATTTCTGGTCCAGAGAATGCTTTTTGTTAAAGTTTTGCATGTCGCAGTCATTTGTTGTGTTACTTTCACCGCCCTACATTGGCCCCGGAAATGTAATACATACTTCGTGATACACACAGCTAGTAACCTGTATGGCATATTTGCATCGTATACTTGTAGTTCGTGGAGAAATCTGTGTATTAATAGTCTCCTGTACTTCCATGTCGTTTCTGGTGATCTCTTATGATTTTTTAAACTTTTGATTTATAGGTAGGGTAAATGTGATAGAAGATGGCATTCATAAACAAAAGAATATCAGTTTTACATGTATATAGGTCCTCAACATTATCACACAAATAGCATCAGTGATAGAGTACTTGAAACTTTCATAGCCGCTGTGCAAATTGAGGGCAGAAAGTCAGTTCTTCACAGTTGCAGCAAAGATCACCTCAAATCCACAGTGTGAGCAATCATACCGTCAGTGTGAGAATGTTTCCACTTTCTGCACCATTCTTTCTGGTTTAGCAACAAAGTTGTTATGAAATATATCAGAAAAACTGTGTAGCGATATGTGTTAAAGTTGTCTCTGTGTGGATACATTAGATTATAGATACGCCACAGTGACAGACACCCATTCTCATAGAAATCATTGAATCACGCTTTTTCTGCCACACTGTCTTCTTCAGCAGCAGTACTTATGCATGAGATCATACTGAAGGAGTTTGGTTTGATTGCAGTGTATTGCCAGTCCATTGTCTAATGTTAAATTTTCGTTTTGAGTGTCTGTGTGCAGAGAGTTTCATATTCAGGTAAGGAATGTGTATCTGAAGGCATCGGCTTAATTTCTGTGATTCTGTTCAGGTTTTGAGTGGCCTCCTTTGGATTTTGGGTACAGTCTGGCGGATGTTCTTAGGAAGTCCAAAGAGAATGCTAAGAATGCTGAGCAGAATAAAGATAAAAAGCCAAATGAAGATAAGAAAGGGGCAGATAAGAGACCAGAACTTGACTGCATTGAAGAGAAAAAGGAGGAGGAAGCAGCAAACTTAAAGGAGAAGTCCGTTAATGAAATTTTGACAGAGGAAGAAAGGAAACTTTGTGGTGATTGGATGGAAATTGGAACCTGGTCCAATGACATGGCCAATCATGATCCTGCGATGGTTGGTATAACTGTATGTCTCTGTTTTCAATACATAAGCACTTAAAAGGTAAACTTGTCCCAGTACTTAACAATTTTCTCCCCAAGCTGGCATTTAAACCCCTGTGAGTTGTGTTCTGCTGCGATATTTGAATGGCCCTGTGCCAGACGTTTCTTTCAGCATTTCTCACTATTATCTGTTTTACGTATTACTGAAGTGAGTTTTGTGAAATTTTGATTGTCTAAACCTTCATGCAGCAGAATGTATCACTCATTTCCAGGCCATGTTATGTACTGGGTATTGCCATTTTCTTTGCTTGATCAAATGCTGGGATCGTGAGTTCAGATCCCACTTAAGGCATGAATGTCTGTCTGCATTTGTTCTGTGTTTGTGTAGGTAGTGGCCTTGTGATGGACTGATCCCCAGTCCAATGAGGCCTACAAACTGAAGTGAAATGGAGTGTTTCATGGGTGTCCTATGCTCCAAAGTGAGAGCAACAGGAAAAAGAGGGGGGGGGGGGATAGAGAGATGGCTTGAAGGTCGCAAAATGCTCATTATATTTCTTGTGAAATCATTTGGTAGGCAGAAATGACTACTGTAATGAAGACTACAATCTTTGGAGATATAATGCTTCTCTTAGTTTGATTCTCTGCTAAGAGATGGCAGCAGTGATGTTTTTTTCTGTGAACTTGCAGTCAGCAAGGACATACTCAGGATCCCTGCCTGAGAGGTTAATTAATTATCATGGTGCCATGAAGATATTTGTGGTGGTGGAGGTATAGCTCCACCATTCATGCATGGCCTTGGCACTGGATGGAGGTGAGTGGTTGGCTTCACCCCCAGGCTGCTGTACCCACAGGGAAAGAGCCCCCCCCCCAGTAGCCTTTGGATAGGAGGAGGCTGGGTTTGCTCCAGAGCCATTTTGTACACTACAGAGATAAGAAAAATCCCTTGCCCCAGGCAGGAATGGAACCCCAGCCCACATCCAGTTGCTGCACCAAGTGAGCTATAGCATGTCCTTGTTGTGTGAAAAGTAAAGAAAATTGCTTCAAGAAACAAATCAGAATACCAAAAAAATTATGTAGTTTTTGGTAAGGCCTGCCACATGTTTCATCTGTGTTATGGCATATGCACAGTCCAGCTGCATTCATGTTGCTAAAATGTCCTTGTTCCTGCTGCAACACTGGAATTTTGTCCACTGCTCTCCCTCCCTCTCTCTCTCTTGCCCATACACATATACACACACACACATATATACATACATATTCAATAGAATATGGCTTGCGTTTAGTTTTCAGAGCTATCGGATGCAGACGACTTTGACATGAATGTAGCGCTACCATCGAATCTCACAATGGTGGATGGGGATGCAGAGCTGGCAGGTCTCCATTCTGGCGGAAGTGACTGGGGGACTGGCATCCAAGCCCGCAAAGGTCGTGAGCGTGTCCGTTATGGCTCCCCAAGCAGTTGGATGGGTAGTGGAGGGTACTTTGGTGGACTGGAACGGGATTTGGAAGGTTTTGAAACAGATGACTCAAGCAGTGAGCCTGGCAGTGAGTACGATCAGTCTGACAGCAGTGACCTTCAGGTGAGAACATTGTGGGGTCTGTCAGTGGAGCAGCTGGTAGGCTGCATCTGTTCTACTTATCTATTGGACAAGTTATTCCTCGTTTATCTCCCCTTCTCTTCTTCCCCTAGGAATAACAACAAATTCATTATTGTGATTTCCTCCCCTCTTGTGGAGCACTTTATCTAACCAAGGTTTGTACAAAATTCTCTTCAATACTGTCATGAATAGCTTCAGCAAACTGTTAATCTCAGTTTTGCCATTTTGTTCATTTTCCTGTACATGATCCAAAACTCCAAGCTTGTTCAAGATTTTAGGATTGATCTCCTGTTACATAGATTTTTTTTACTGAATTCCTTGTTGTTCGGTGTTGTGAATACCTTATTTTTATACTTCAACACTTTGCGGACCGCGCACGCATTAATATGTTTTTCGCTTTTAAACATGGCGGACCGTTCGTGTGTTAACAGGTTTTTAGAACATGATAAGTTGCAACACACTATACATCGCTCTGGCTCCACCTACATTGCATGCAACTGCCTGCAGATGCGTGATGAGACCCTGGAATGTTTAGTTAGCAGTCAATAACTTGACCTCGCTGTTTACTTAACCGACTATAAAGGAAAATGCTTTGCCTTCTTCAAGCTGTGTGTATCAGCCAGTAGCTAGTGGGGAGAATGGATCAAGGACAAATTCTCCTCCGATGACCTAGCTGACCTGCCTTGTGAGATGCGTAGTAATGGATTAATTGTCATTCAGACAGCGACAGTGACAGGGGACAACAAAGAATTGTGGCCACAGACAGTAAAAGTGACAGTAGCTCCGACGATAATGCGGGTAATAACATTGCGCGTAGTAACATTGTGGGGACAGCATAAAATCTAAAAAAAATCTAAACCCTGATTCAAAATTGAAATACAAAGCATTTCTGATGAATGTGGCAAAGACCTGGGCTACAGTCCAGATGGTGGCGGCAGAACCAGGGTCACAAAGACAGTATGACCAGGCCCATCAACTCCCACCCCACAAAGACTCATGTGGACCCCCCAGGACGACTCTCGAGTGATATGCGGAAAAATAACCTCGTGAAAATTGTGAAGAGTGAACATTCCAAGGGGAAGAATACGTCTAGGCAATGCCGTGTTTGCACAGTTCACAAAAAAAGGAGTATGTCTACATTTGCAAGTTCTGTGTAATGCCACTTCACAAAGGGGAAAGTTTCTAGAAATATCACACCCTCAAGCACTTCTAGGAATATTGATAAATGTTCTCCAAAAATTTTAGTTCAAAAAATTAATTAGGAGATTTTATATTAATTTTTAAAGTGAACAGTGCACAAGTTAGGGTAGTATGTTTAAAAATGCTGGTCCCCAGGTTGATTTAAATATTCAAATCGCCAGTCCGCGAAGTGTTAATGTAGTACTCCTTAGTCCTGTGTGTCTCACTTGGTAACAAGATGTGTTCAAGAGGTAACTAATTTGGTTATTTGGAGGGAAAAATTTTATCTCAGTGTATATCCAGTACTCAGCTATTACTGAATTATTGTTGAGAATTGAGGAAACACAAAATTTGCTGATTGAGTAGAACAGTTTTATTTGGTTATCATACTAGCCATGTAACCATTTTGCTAAATATCTGTACCACTCACAGCTTGGGAAGGCACCCTGCAATGTCTTTGCAGACAACACAGCAATGAGTTCTTTTGGCAGTAGTGCCTCTATAGGCCATGCCAAACAGTTTGTCACAACATGATGGCACTTTGCCCCCCCCCCCATTTGGGCTAAGAAGAGAATACTTGGATATTGCCAGGTTAGACAGTGGTGGTACCCCAGGGCTTCACTCCTCTGTCTTGTCTTTTCCTTTGGGTATATATGAGGAGGCTGGTTTGTCAAGATAAATTCCAGAGAAGAGATGGACTCGTGTACAGGGCAGTCCTGAGGGCATGCAACAGGCAAACAGGTTCTGTTGTAAAACAAGCAAGATTTTACATATACACCACGCCATTCTCAACAGCAAATAGCATAGGCAAATAATAAAATTAAATTATATAGTAGATACGATATTGAAATAGAATGATTTTACTCAGTAAGCGATTTTCTCAGTTTTTAATCATTAACTCCTCCATTGTGGCTGTTAATCAGGCCTGTGATGACACAAAACAGTTCCCTGAAGATAGAGTTAAGTATGGCAAACGTGGGACGTTCTGCTTAAACATATAATTTTTCTTATGGTTTCTGTTTCTTGTTTCTGCTTGTTTCCTGTTATGGCCCAAATTTGAGATTGAAGAGGGTATGGTATTACCCAAAAGCTAGAGACTTGCGAAAAGAGTTTCGCAGCTATTGCCGTAAATTGTAAACACCAGGACTGGCAATTAGGTTAAGAATGTGACTGCACAGCAGGTCTCTGTAATCGCAGAGCAATAGCTTACCTCACTCGTTCACTGGATTTAATCGTAAGAGACTGCTTACGCAGCAATAAGACGCAAGGGGTCCGCCCACAACCACCCATGAGAGCCAATGAGGAGGTTATTATGAGGATTGAGGACACTGAGGGGGAGTCACCTACCCTCTGTCGTCAACGCTGAATCAGCGAAAGAAAACGATAAATTAGGGAACTTCGGGGGATTTGGATCATGTTCTATCACAGAATATTCGGTTGTCAGCCGGAGGCTCTCGGCGACATGTATACCATAAGAGGGTGGATGACGGCAGTGATCTACATATGTATTGCAAGTAAGTCTCTTTGCTCATATACGCCATGCTGTTAAAGGTTGTTGTTAATACAAGTGTTATTGTGAGATAATGAGGCAGGATCCAGTGAACCAAGTGAGAGCCAGGGTAGCACAGGGTAGGGATGAACGGAGAGTGGCAGACGACGATAGGAGTGCAGTTTCAGGGCACCTCCCCTTCACAAACTAGGATGGTAGAATGAGTTAAGCGAGAAGTGTCATGTCAACAGATAAGAGCAGGCCTTTTTCTTAATGTATTTATTATTGTAAATAGACAGTGTACATATTGGAAAATGTACGCAGGGAGTTCTGATTCACCTGTGAGTAACCATCCCGACCTCAACCGAGCCCGAGCTTCCCTAGCCAAGACAGCCGACGGCAGCCGAGTGCAACGCAGATGTTAGAAAAAGAGTACTAACCGACGAAAGTATTTATAAGTCCTCACCCCCTCCCCCTGAGGTGTAACATTTCCATTGAATTCTGCCTTCTGGGATGTAATACCAGGTAGTCTAGTGAAAGGCAACCTGCGTTTCAAAAGAACATGTTGCCTCCATCTTCAGGGTCGAAGAATAAGCCAAGCAGGAAACCAGCATGAAGCAGAGCTTTGCTTGCTGCCTGCTTCATGCTGGTTTCTTGCATGTGATTCCTTATAATCTGGTAGATGGGTATCAGTGATTTCATTTTATTGTAGCAGAGTACTCCATAATGCTTAGGTGCTTCTCGATATTAATTATACTATTTTGTCTTGTTATCAGGGTACCTCAGGACTTCGTATTGAATTCAAAAGTGAAAATGTGGCGGAGGCAATTGAAGACGAGTGTGAGGTCCAAAAGCGTGAGAGAAGACATGCCATCATTCTACAAAATTCAGACACACCTGGGACTGAAGATGAGATTCCGTGGGACTGGGAGAAAGACAGTGATCAGAACGTTGATAAACCGACAGAAAAGTTTGTTGCCCAGTTCCGGAAGGCCACAGAAAAGAACTGCCAGTTTATTGAAAATAGTGGGACGCTTGTGAAGAGTAAGCAACCAGTAGTGATAATCAGAAAAGGCAGCCAGCAACTTCCTCAGAATCAAAATGTGCCAAATATTACATCCACTATCAAATCTGAATCTAATTATTCCACACTGAAGAATGAACTTTCGTCACAGGAACTAGAAGTGCCATTCAGTCAGCATATTAAACTGCAAAGCACTGCACTAAACTTTGCTCCCCTACCCTCACAGGATAGACAGGAGAATAATGATAGTGGTCTGTCAGTTGATGGGAGTTCTGAAGAATTTGAATCTGATGTAGCAGACACAGTGTATAATGGACTGTTTGATGCCGATGATATTTGCAGTGAGGCTGATACTGATGAAGACATCATTAGTAAATTCAGTTTCGATGCCCAGCCAGACTTGCAGGGACATCAAGGGCCAAGTCCGAGCGTAATTCTCCAGGCACTCACAATGTCAAATGCCAATGATGGCATCAATCTTGAACGTCTTGAGACCATTGGAGACTCGTTTCTCAAGTACGCCATCACTACATATCTGTACTGCATGTACGATAACATTCATGAGGGAAAACTGAGCCACCTCCGTTCAAAACAGGTGAGAAAGATTTGAGCTTCAAATATCAAGATTGTGGTCACCTTGGGTGTGACACCATGCCTATTGGTATATGGTAACCAGCGTTTTGTTGGGACCTACCTACAAAACTGCACAGTGACACATCCCGCAGGAGTATAAACTTAAATAATAAAATACTTTGCAGCATGAACTTAATTGACTCTTTCTCTCTGGGGGGCAGTCATTGAGAGATTCAGTTTTCTCTGCCCAGTTTCAGTTTTGGATCATCACATCACTAACCATGAATATGCCTGGAAGTTTTTGAGACAAAATACTGTGAAGAGGTCAAGCTTCAGGGACATAACACTGTGTAGTCTGTTGGAAATCAACCGACGTTTTCAAGGAACGTCCTTACAGTTGAAGAGTAAGCCAAGCAGGAAACCAGCTTGAAGCAGGCAGCTGCTGGTTGACTTTGAACAAACTGCACAGTGTTACACAACCTGGAAGATAGCATTCTTCATAACCACCACTGTGAGAACAGTAAATCCTACAAAATATTGTGATGTTGGATTTAATTCAGTGAAACGTGTGTAATGGAAATGCTGTTTAATGTTCCTCATTTTAAGGTTTTACCTTGTTCAGTGTCAGTGATCCCACCCCATCAATCTCAGTTCAGTTTCAGCAGTTCCAACTCAGTCTCAGTTCAGTTTCAGTGATCCCATCTCAGCAGTCTCAGTTCAATTTTAGCATTCCCAACTCAGTCTCAATTCAGGTTCAGTGATCCCATCTAAACAGTCTCATTTCAATTTCAGCAGTCTCACCTCAGTCTCAGTTCAGTTTCAACAGTCCCACCTCATTCTCAGTTCAGCTTCGGCAGTCCCAACTCAGTTTCAGTTTGGTTTCAGCAGTGTCACTTCAGTTTCAGTGGCCCCACCTGAGTTCAGTTTCAGCTGTCCCACCTTAGTTCAGTTTCAGCAGTCTCAGTGTTGAATTTCTTAACAGATATTTATCAGTTGGTGTTCATTGTCACTGCTTCCTAAACACGCCATAACTTTTTTTAGGCTCAAATTGTGTGTAGCCATTTATAAGAGAAAATGCTCCATGAATTATATGCTGACCTCATGTTAATAATGTCCTAGTGCTACCAGTTCATCTTGTTCTTACTCCCTGGTAACAGACCCCACAGGTGCTAATTCAGTCAGTCTTGATGTATGTTACCAACATGTGCCTTGTATGTGTCAGTTCTTGTCACGTGACTTCACTTGCGCCAAATTTTGAAGAGCTTATCAGGCTCCATAAGTAAGCAGCCTGGTATGAGACGTAATGATATAGCAGTGCTTCTGTTCTGTACTGTGAACACCACTGACACCACAGTGATGGAGGATTTGAATGCTGAATAAGTGATGCAACACTGAAAGGTGTTTATTTTCTCAGTAATTTTAAATATTACGAAGATCGTGTTGAAGAAATTAATGGCAAAGGTTGTTCTGCTTGTCATATACAAAGAATTAAGTGGGCTTTCTGTGGAAGGTAGGAAGGAAGCCACACAGATGTAACTCTGTCACTACAGTGGTGGTGCCCGCAGCCCAATTTTAACCTGAGGTTCTTGTATTGATATCTTAAGTGCTGTGATGCTGGGCATGAGGAGCTTGCGTGCATTGTTTCGCAGTGTTGCGACAAACTGACATTAGAAGTTAAAGTGCATTCAGTGAGACTGGGAAATTTGTTAACTTAAGTTTCTGTACTTGGTATTTTTGATTTGAGATTCTCATTTGGTGCCTGTGAAAATTTACTGTCTTCTGGGATGTTACCCGGTGAAGTCTGTAGATGCTTCAGATGAAGTCACTCTCTCCATCCTGAAGTTGGCAGGAGGAGGCAACAGGCTCCTCTGTAACATCGGTAAGCGTGTATGGAACTTCATGGCGTCTCACCCCAGAAGACATTAATTTTCTTCATTTTGTTATTTTAGAATTCCATACATCGGCAATGTTTTAAAGTACATGTTCTCACTACATGCAAGTTCAAGAGGTGCTGTTTTATTTTAATTTTCTCATCCATTTGAGTCTGATTTCATTTAATAGAATGTGCATTAATGCAAATAGCTTTTGGCCAATCAAGAAAGGGAGGGAGGAGGGGGGAATGGAGCAATTTGCGGGTCACCGAGGAATGTGAGAGAATTTCGCTTAACCAGATAGCATTTCTATGTATCTACTGCTGGCACTCGTAAGGAAACCTTCAGTGCCTTGTCTCCTTGTTACTGTTAGTCACTCACTTTTGTCCAGTTGTGTGTTTTTATTTCATTATTAGCCCTGAAAATAATTCTGTAATAATGAGAGAAAATGGCAGGGTAGCATCCTGCTACTGGTAAGAAAGAATTGGGAGTAAAGATATCAAGAGAATCAGTAAGTCTTGGCCAGAAGTTTGATGTGTTTCATTGTTATAAAAGAAATAATAAAGCATTAGACATTATTCACCCCGTGGGAATCTAAGAATCTGCATTTGTGAGCATTCATAGTGCTGCACAGAAAGTAGCTCTGTTTTGCCTGTTGTGTCAGGTCTCGGACATTTCCATCGATTCATACAGAGAAACTATGTTTTATTTGTGCAGTTCCACCCTCTGCTTCATCTCTCTTTCTTTTTTAACACAACTTTTACATAAATTGAGGAGTACTTATACTGATTTCTGTTAATTTAATATATAATGTTTCATGGTATTTAATTCTGCTATTTTTAAAGGTCAGATCATTGTTTTTGCAGGTTAGCAACTTGAACCTGTATCGACTGGGCCGCCGGAAGGGGTTTGGTGAAAGTATGATAGCCACAAAATTTGAGCCTCATGACAATTGGCTGCCACCTTGTTACTATGTACCTCGAGAGTTGGAACAAGCCTTGATTGAAGCAGGAGTTCCTGCCAGCCACTGGAATCAGGCTGACTTGCCAGCTCTAAGGGACCTGTCACGTGACGAGATCTGTAAACTGGTGCATGAACGAAGTGAAAAACTGTGCAAGATGAGCACGGGAGAAGATGGCAATACTGAGGACTTCCTAACAACAGCTGGTCCATGCACCAACATAGAGAATCTTCCTTGTTTCATCCCTTATAATCTTATCACGCAGCACAGCATTCCTGATAAAAGTATTGCTGACTGTGTTGAGGCACTGATAGGGGCATACCTCATAGCTTGTGGTCCTCGTGGGGCTCTGCTCTTCATGGCCTGGTTAGGAATCTGTGTCCTACCAAAGGAGGAAGCCATATTTACAGTTTCGCCTTCTGATGATATCAAGGGATCAAGGTCGGTGGGAAGTCTGATGCCAGAATTGGTCGACGGGAATGAAAACCCTGCAGCTTTGGCGATAGGGGATGGAACCTGTGCACCTCTAGTCAAGTGGAGACAGGTGCAGTCTTTGTTAATAACAAGTACCAGTTCAGACTTCACTTAATATAATGATGAAAATCTCTGACAATGACAGAAATAATAATAATAATAATAATAGTAGTAGGTGAAGTTGTCCCTGTGCTTAACTAATTAAGCACTATGGCAGGAAGGCATATGGGGAGTGGATGAATAGACCTACGTTTTCTTGACCTGAGCTCTAGTTGGAGGTGAATGGTCAGCTTCACATCCCAGCCGCTTTACCCCTGGTACTTATTGAATATGAGGCTGGGTGTACCCCAGAGCCTGTCTGGACAACATGGAGAAGTGAAAATTCTTGCCCCCACCAGGACTCCAACCCCTAGGTCATCCAGCCTACAGCCAGTCTCTATACCAACTGCACTATCCCGGTTCTTATGTTACTGAAACTGTGATATGTGGAGTAGAGTTGTGTGGCTCTGCAGGTTTTATTTTCCTTATCCGAGAATGCAGACGCAATGTTGAGGGGAGTGGGTGTCATGTCAAAAATAATGGAGCTGTATTTCCGAAAGATGACCATTGTTTGTATTTACCACATATTACTTTTTCAGTTGATTCTGCTGTGGTCTGAAATAACTGGCTGTACCATTATGCGCAAGAATATTAGTAAGTAGCTTAAATTAGTATTAAATTCCAACAAATGCAACATTGCTTTTTTTTTTTTCAATTATAAAATTGAGCCTTTGGCTGTTTTGGCCAATGATGGCCATCGTAGGAAGGCAACCAACACTTCACAGGAAATATTTAACGTGTATTATGTGCATGTATGTGTTGTCCTGTAATGGTTGAGACACTAGTATGTAAAATAAGTTTTGCTGAAAACAATAGAATTTTTGATGGATTAGAACCTTGCTGTGCAGTCCCAGTGGTGGTCATGTTCCTTCACAGTTTGTCATCTGTATTGTGTTCGTCCTCTGTGTAGGACACAGTTAGGGTTGTGGCATTGTGCGCAATGTGTTTTGGTGAACTGGTGCATTTGATGGAATGTAATACTAATTTTACTTGTGCTATAGGATGCAGTGGTCGAGAGCAGTGTCTGTCATTAAATAAGTTCAATTGGTACATACCTTGGTGGCACTCTGTACAATAACTTGTACACTTGCATGCATGAAGTGAGGTCACAGAAATGATTAGGAGACCAACACATTAGTTAGCCAATAAACTGTAAATTAAATGCTTCATATAGTGAAGTGTATGTTGAAATGGCATTAGGTGCTTATGTAATGCTCACTGAAAACTGAACTGAGAAGTATCTTCATATGTTATTTTATGCAGATTTCAAAACTTTGTAGTTATTGAATTAATTGTTAAACATCAATTAATTGTTTCATCCGTGTCCGCCTTCCTTCCTTTATTCCTAGTCTTTATATTAAAACAGTTGCCTCATTGCTTCCTTTTCTTTATTAGTTCAATACCCTTATGTCTGATATTCCTGCCCTTTTCCCTCTAATTTCTCTGTCCTGTTGTAATTCCTTGCCAGTCACAGTCGCATGGTCTAAGGCATGAACTGTCTTTGCTCACTCAAACGCTGGGATCATGGGTTCAAATCCCACTCAAGGCATGGATGTATGAGTGTGCCATTATTCTATGTTTGTGTTGTCCTGTGTGTAGGTGACGGGCTGATCCCCTGCCCAATGAGTCCTACCATTTGTGTTGTCCTGTGTGTAGGTAGCAGCCTTGTGACGGGCTGATCCCCTGCCCAATGAGTCCTACCGTTTGTGTTGTCTTGTGTGTAGGTGACAGGCTGATCCCCTGCCCAGTGAGTCCTACCGTTTGTGTTGTCCTGTGTGTAGGTAGCAGCCTTGTGACAGGCTGATCCCCTGCCCAATGAGTCCTACCGTTTGTGTTGTCCTGTGTGTAGGTAGCAGTAGGCTGATCCCCTGCCCAATGAGTCCTACCGTTTGTGTTGTCCTGTGTGTAGGTAGCAGCCTTGTGACGGGCTGATCCCCTGCCCAATGAGTCCTACCGTTTGTGTTGTCCTGTGTGTAGGTAGCAGCCTTGTGACGGGCTGATCCCCTGCCCAATGAGTCCTACCGTTTGTGTTGTCCTGTGTGTAGGTAGCAGCCTTGTGACGGGCTGATCCCCTGCCCAATGAGTCCTACCGTTTGTGTTGTCCTGTGTGTAGGTAGCAGCCTTGTGACGGGCTGATCCCCTGCCCAATGAGTCCTACCGTTTGTGTTGTCCTGTGTGTAGGTAGCAGCCTTGTGACGGGCTGATCCCCTGCCCAATGAGTCCTACCGTTTGTGTTGTCCTGTGTGTAGGTAGCAGCCTTGTGATGGGCTGATCTCCTGCGCAATGAGTCCTACCGTTTGTGTTGTCCTGTGTGTAGGTAGCAGCCTTGTGACGGGCTGATCCCCTGCCCAATGAGTCCTACCGTTTGTGTTGTCCTGTGTGTAGGTAGCAGCCTTGTGATGGGCTGATCTCCTGCGCAATGAGTCCTACCGTTTGTGTTGTCCTGTGTGTAGGTAGCAGCCTTGTGACGGGCTGATCCCCTGCCCAATGAGTCCTACCGTTTGTGTTGTCCTGTGTGTAGGTAGCAGCCTTGTGATGGGCTGATCTCCTGCGCAATGAGTCCTACCGTTTGTGTTGTCCTGTGTGTAGGTAGCAGCCTTGTGACGGGCTGATCCCCTGCCCAATGAGTCCTACCGTTTGTGTTGTCCTGTGTGTAGGTAGCAGCCTTGTGATGGGCTGATCTCCTGCGCAATGAGTCCTACCGTTTGTGTTGTCCTGTGTGTAGGTAGCAGCCTTGTGACGGGCTGATCCCCTGCCCAATGAGTCCTACCGTTTGTGTTGTCCTGTGTGTAGGTAGCAGCCTTGTGATGGGCTGATCTCCTGTGCAATGAGTCCTACTATTTGTGTTGTCCTGTGTGTAGGTGACGGGTTGATCCCCTGCCCAATGAGTCCTACCGTTTGTGTAAAAAAAAGCTTACAAAACTGAAGAAGAGGCCTGGGCCCAATGAAGGGCTGTAGAGCCATTGGTGAATGAATGAATGAATGAATTTTAATTCCTGTCTACCATTCCTTTAAGTATAAGTAGATATCACTGAAAGGGTTTTATAACTACAGAAGATGTGAAGATATGTATATTATTGAATGATGGTTCAGGGCTGAGGATTGACGCTGTCATGTCAAACACTGAGAACATGTCCTCAGTGAGCTCAGACAAACAAACATTAACTCAGTATGATCCTTTAGCGTGTGATTTCTTGCCTGTACCACAGTTTCTTCCTGATAGTGAGGTGGGCGTTGCTTCCATTCTGCTACTGTGGCCTGTTTAGTTATGTTTATGTAACCTGGGTCAGGGGAGGATAAGAGAAGAGTTGCTGGATGGGCTCTAATGCTTGCAGGTACGATACGGGACACTGAGGGTGCCCCGATCTCCCCTGTTAAGGAATGTAAGTAACCCAGAGGCTGAGCTGAACCGGTTGTTGGATGGCTACCACGTGTTCGAGCAGCGTATTGGTTACAAGTTCAGGGACCGGAGCTACTTGCTGCAGTCTCTCACGCATGCGTCGTACTCACCCAACAGACTCACCGACTGCTATCAACGACTGGAATTCCTGGGCGATGCTGTGCTAGGTAGTACTCATGCTTAATAAGAGCCAAAACTGAGAAAATTAGTTTTGTTCTACATTTTCCATGCTATTTTTTTTTTCAGTTGTCATGAAACCAATGGACCCAACATAATAAGCATGAAATTCTCTGTTTGTAAAAATGTACCTCCATTGATATAATGACGTGCAATGGGCTGGATGGCCTGGCTTTGATTCCTGACAGTGCAAGATTTTTCTATTCTCCACAGCATTAAGACTGACTCTGTGGCCCACCCAGCCTCCTATCCAACGGATATCAAAGGCAAAGTGGCTGGGGCATGAAGCCGGTCATTCACCTCCATCTAGTGTGGAAGTCAAGAAAGTTTGAGCTATACCTCCACTCCCCCATGCATCTTCATGGAATGGCCATTAACTAATTAAGCAAAGGGACAACTTACCTTCTTCCCCTCCAAGGTGATGCTAGAGGTCAGCAGAAGTTGTGGAATAGTTTCTGTTACCCGCATAAGATGCCTTGTGCAAACTGCTCAAAACAAGGAACTCCAGTGGAACTTGCACCTTGTTTTCATTCTGCAGACTTGTATATGAAAGTTTGGTGCATACTGCATGTTAGATTGAAATGGTTTACAGTAGATTTGGCAACGCAGTGTATGGATACTTACAGTTATGGAGTGCACCATATGGTTCTCTTATGAACGCGGAGATTAAAATTCCCGTTTGATAAAATTTTGACCAATGGATAATTTTTTGCAGAAAATGTGATAAAAGTTTAATGCTGTGTGCAACACGGCATGGACCGCACTGTGTGATTCTTTGATGGGTGAATGAGGTGGAAGGAAGTCTGGTAGTGTGTGGTGCTGCCTGGGAGTGGTTGGGATGAAGGCTCGGAGAAATACACAACACATGCTGCGTGCATAAATGAAATTATGTTTTAGATTTTAAAGTTAAATCATAAAATTAGGAAAATATTTCAGTATATCAGTGTACAGAAAGTGCATGAATTTCTTGCAATAATTTTAATGCAGCTGATGATTTAAATTCTGAATTGTGAAACTTTTAATGTGAGTTGCATGTGAGTCGGCGCTGAATGCATAAATAAAAAGTAGACGCATTGCAACAGGATGCTGCAATATAATATTTTGGAGGAACAGAGTTGAGGCCAGAATTTTGTCAGTATGTGCCTGGCTTTATTGTTGAAGTCATGGGGGGGGGGACTGGGTACTGGACTGCCTTGATGGTTTTCCAGATCATATAGGGATAGTGGGGGGGATATGCACTTTCTGTAGTATTTCTTTGTTACAGATTACCTCATTACACGCCATCTGTATGAAGATTCACGTCAACACTCCCCAGGCGCCCTCACTGATCTTCGTTCAGCTCTGGTCAACAATACTATATTTGCTTCCCTTGCTGTTCGGTATGGTTTCCATAAATATTTTCGACATTTGTCACCTGGACTAAATGAAGTCGTCGATCGTTTTGTCCGAATACAAGAAGAAAATGGCCACACTATCAGTGAAGAGGTCAGTACAAGGGTGAAGTGATCTACAGTGAATATAAATCATAGCATGTTTCAACCATATTTAGCTTCTTGTGATCTTTTGAAACAAGCTTATTTTTTACGGTGATGAGTTGTTAGCCCCACGCCCAACTCCTAAGGTGGAGGACCAGCCCTTGTCGGCTGTTTGCAACAGCTTATTCAAAATATTTGCAGCTACCCTCAATACCTGGAGGCCTTCTCCTCCATCCGCAATCTGAGGACACACCATGCCGTAGTGACAAGGGACCCACCTAACATGGGTAATGCATTCACTCCCTTTTGTTTAACTGTTTCAAAAGCCATAAGACTTTAGGAAAAGTCTGTTCACCATAAAGCATGTTTAAGTTCTAATTTTTCTCTACAACTTTCATTTAAAACATTCTACTTTCCAATGAGACAGTTATACTTGAGGTGCCCACAGAAATGCGTGTTAAATGTTCATGTAAAGCCCTTATTGCCCAGATTTAACCAATATCATATTGTACTAGCAAATTTAAAGTTTAGATCTTAATGAGGATCTATTCATATGTGCTGGCGGGTAAACCTGACGAAAGCTAAGAGTTTTTGTTTTGGCATGCCAGAAATGTGTCTGCTCCCCTTGCCCATACACCACTGTAGCCTCTGTGCTTTACTTACGCTGGTAGAGGTGTCTCCCTGGTTGCAGTATTACCTTATCGAGGAGGAGGAATGCGAGGAAGCCGAGGATGTGGAAGTGCCAAAGGCGCTCGGTGACGTGTTTGAGTCGGTTGCCGGTGCCATATTTCTGGACAGTGGAATGTCACTTGACGCTGTCTGGAGAGTATACTACCGGATGATGAAGACAGAAATAGGTAAACAGTGTAAGGTTACTGGCTTCTGGGAGTCTGTTAGTTGTTTTGTTGACATGTACTGCCTCCATCTTCAGGGTCAAAGAGTAAGCCAGAGAGCAAACAGAGTGAACCAATTGTAAGAAAATTGATGCATTTGTATGCTGGTATAGGAGCCCATTGCAAAGTCTACATTCCTTTGCCCATAGCAGCTCATTGAGGGCTCCAATCCTAACCAATATCTGTACTGCTTGGTGAACTTATTCTTTGTTATTGAAGGTAGAGGTAGTGTGTTCCCCTGAAACATCAGTAACCTCTACACGAGTGGTTCTCAAACTTTTTACCTCTGAGCCCCCCCCAGCTTGTTTTTTTAATCAAAATAGAAGTCATGGTATGTTTGACGTTTTATTCAGTTTATTTTGTTTTTCTACATACTATTTAGCAGTTTTTTACTGAAAATTGAAGTATCACAATATTAGGCCTACAATATAAATTAGTTTTAACACTTGCAATTAACCAAAATACTTATGTATTGAAATGGAATGATATTTAACTAACAAGTGTTTAATTTTTTCTGCAAAGAAAATCAAACATTCAAATGTCAAAGTTCAGTGTAATGGATGGGCCTGCTTTTGAGAACAAAGTTTATCAAAACGTGGTGTAATATCACAAATGGCCACTCTAACTTCTTTAGCAATATTTAGCCTTGAACGATACTTTGACTTTATAGCTGCCAAAGCAGAAAAGCCTGTCTTGCATAAGTAAGTTGTTGCAAAAGGAATCAGGATCTTCCATGCCTTTTGGCTCAAAGTTGGGAATGCCTTGCCAGCAAAGACAATTCCTTAAATTTACATTTTAATGAAGTATCACTAGTGAGATCGATGAGTTGTTCTTGCTCATTTACCTTCTGAGATGATGGCCCTGGAGCATTTTCGAATGGATTTTTAATCCAATTAAATTCGTGAAAACCACTGCAAAAGTATTTCTCGAAATGAACTTTCAACATTATGAGATGATCAAGTAGGCAGCTTTTTATGTCCATTGGAAGCACTGGATTATCAGTGTCTTGTACCATTGACACTAGAGTAGGGAACATGTCTAGTGTGTCACTTTCCATGCCGTTTCTCCAGAGCTCTAATTTTCTCATGAATGCCTTCACTTTGTCATTCCAAGAAAGTACAGTTGCCTCATTCCCTTGAAGTGAAGTGTTGAGAATATTTAGTTTCTCAAATATATCTGTGAGATAAGCCATTTTCAATAAAAAAATCCTTGTTCCTGAAACTATCTGCCAGTGAGTGATTTTCCCCACTTAAAAAACAGAACACCTCATGCCTCAGCTTAAACATTCCCTTTAATACCTTGCCTCTTGAAAGCCATCGAGCATCACTAAAAAACAACAGAGCAGTGTGTTCAGCACCCATTTCCTCACACAGCATTTTAAAAAGTCTAGACTTCAGAGGATTTGAGAGGATACGACTGCTGCTGAACTATCAACACTGTCTCTGGCATACACGTTTTATAATTGCCGGTAAGGAGAATAATTATTAGTTATTTTGAAATTCATGATAATTAAAGCCTGTACTCATCCAAAGTTTTTATATATGTATTTTTATTTTCTGTTACTTTTCTAATTGATTTAGGGCAGTTTTAATTTTTATCTGTAGGAAAGTATGCTGCACCCCCCTTTCAAGCTCTTTGCATGCCCCCTGGGGGTCGCGCCCCACAGTTTGAGAACAACTGCTCTACACGATTACACAATGCCACATTCTGTCCTGCTCTTGTTCACTGCCAAGAGAATTTCAGTTGTGTCAGGTGAAGAATTTTGTCTCCACTGCAGTGTGCATTGTAAAAAATGTAAAACTATCCCTGTAACAGGCCGTGGAGGTCCGTAGGGTTTTGAGACGTCAAGGCTCCCACATTTTATAGACAGCCAGCTCACAGATGGCGGTGAGGTTGTCAGCCTTATGCACTGGCCACCCTTTATGCCCAGTGAGATTCCTGGTACTCATTTCTGTTAGAGGCTAAGTTGATCCCAGGGCCATAGTGTTGCTGGAAGGATTATGTAAATTGGAAAAATCCAGTGACCTCATCAGGAATCAAACCCATGACCTTCCAGCTTATAGCATAGTCCCTCAACCAACTACGCTACTGCGTGCCCCCCACTTTGTGCATTACGAACCTGCATTTCTATAGTGTCTGTGTGATGTGTTCTGTACATCTCCTGCAAGCCTGAAGCTTAAAGCTTTTTTTGGCTTATTATGAAAATATGTACCCTTCCAGAAACATAGACCATGTGTATTTTATATTCATGCTTCGAGAAACATCAGCCAAATCTTGGCACATTTAAACATTAATGTCCATTCTCTTCCCCTCCAAGTTATTGGTAACTATTTTTCCTTGTCTGGAATCTGTCATTATTTGACAATTTTCCCAGTAATTAAAATTGTGTGAGAACTCATTTGAAAGCTGTTTTTTGCCATGATTTTGTGAAAAATAGAACTTCTACATTCAAACTTACAAAAACATTTAAAATTTTTGCTGCATATTATTTTCCCACCATTTGCCTAAAATAATGCAAGTTTAAGGTAAAAATATGAAAGAAATACAACAGAAATGCATTTTCATAACCCAGTGAATGAACTTGAAAAGTGAAAAGAGATGATTATTTCTTGACGTGCAGTAAGTCAAACATCACGCTGTACAGAACTGGATGCTTGTTCAACTTCACTCATATCTCAGCAGTAGGGTTAACAAAATAATCATAACAGGGAAGAACTAGTGAACCTCAGAATTATATTACCATGGACTGTCAATTCCTAATTTTGTGAATATCTTTCACAAAATTCATTAAAATCTCCTACTACAAGAAAGCTTTATATTCAGTGTCTGTGCCTAGTTTTTTCAAAACCACTATTCAGCTGTTAAAACAGTTTGCTGCACTGTTATAGCCGTCTGCTTCGAAGAAAACTGATGAGGTGTATTTCTGTCGTTACATATGATGTGAGATGTCGAGAGCATTGAAGGTTTGTATTGTAGTTATGTTGAAGCCCAGAATACCACAATACATATTGTCACGTGTTGAGCATGGCATGCGACAAATAACTTTACGTGGGTCTCGGATTTAGTGAATCTTTATTGGACTCTCACGCTTACACACCTTACAATTATCACCACTTGCAGTGTCACTTGACTTCTGGCCCAATACTCCAATGTGACTTCTCAACCATCCTTGGCCGTGGTTGAATCTCAAATGTCTCTGGCAGCGGCTATCCCAAGATTGTGTTCTTGCTGTCTTCTTTCTAACTAGCTCTGTAGTTCTTGGCTTATGTAGGTGTTCTGTGGACTGGATACCAGACACCATTCCTCACTGTTTTGTTTCTACTGTCCACTGTTACGTAATGGGCGCAACGAACTCTCTGTAGTTCATTTCTAGGGAGACGTGTTCATTGCTTCTGCATTGTCTATGCAACGGCTCCCTGTTCTTTGTGTTGCGTTGGAAGTGCCTATTCCAAACTCACGTGTTTGGCAATCTGTTGCCTCGGGAATGCTCCTTCGCAACGGTCTGTTTGTATTCGATTTATCGCTGTTGGAACTCAGCAATTTCCATTGTAGCCATTGTGTGGCAATGGACGTAAGGTAATGCGTCACAATATATCTGTCCAGTTTAAATTTACTAGAATAATGTTCACAAATTATGTAATCACTAAATAGCTAGAAAATATCACATTTTTTAAACTGGGCTGTGTGGTGTGTTTGTGATGATTGTGATCTGTGCAAACTTTCCATTTTTTTTATTGCTAGTGGGGTGGGACTGAGTCCCTTGTACTGCAGCCACTTCTGGCCTATTGTACCAGCCCCAGATGATAGGTGAGGGTGAGTGTGGAGCAATTGGTGGAATGAAGATTGGCAGGGGAAACCGAAGTACTCGGAGAAAACCTGCCCTAGTGCCACTTTATCCACCACAAATCCCACTTGACCAGACATGGGATCGAACCCAGGCCACTGTGGTGGAAAGCCAGTGACTAACCACTTGAGGTATGGTGCGTCCACAGCCAGTAGTTAGTAACAAGGCAGTTGATATTGCACAGTAACATCAGGTTCTACACCAGCTTGATATAGCATTCGCATTTTCACTACAGACTGGAATTTCAAATTTAAGGCTCCAGCTGTTTGCTTCTTCCAGCCAACAGTGAGATTGTTTCTACAAATGAAAACCAGTGTCCAGTTCAGACACTGCTGTTGCTACTCTGGCAGCACAGTGCAATCTGCTGTCAGGCTGTGGCATTCTGGGCTCCATAATTTCATTTTATTTCACATGCTAGTTTGTATTATTGTTATTAATGAACATAATTTTGCTGGACATTGAAAATGATTTCCTTGTCATGTGGCTTAGTACATTTATTGTCCTCCTGTTGCAGAGCAATTCAGTACGAACGTACCGAAATCTCCTATCCGTGAGTTGCTTGAACTGGAACCCGAGACAGCAAAATTTGGGTAAGTTAAGTAGCATTGTCACTGAAGCATTTTGGGGTCGACTTGAGAAAAGCATACAGCAGTTCCTAGCACCTGACGAGTCTCTGTACAGACTGTAGGAAGGTTACAATCAAGCACTAAATGCCACATGATGATACTCGACTGAGTGATTGTGCCAGTAATAAATCTTACGTGGAGTTTGTGGTGGACAGAGTGGCACTGGGGAAAGTTTTCTCCAAATACTTCAGTTTGCCCCACCATTTCTTGTTCCACCAACTGCTTTATATTCATTGATTGTCCTGTCATTGATGCTGTATAGTTTAAATAGTGACGGCTTCATTAAGTAACAAACAAGCAAATCTGTACAAGTACATATGAGTATTCAGGTTGATGCAGGACGAGCTCCTGCCACTTCAGTGCAATGTGGCATGTACTTCTGGGATCCCTTGTCTAATGGTGGTTTCTGCTATTGTGTGTTTTGTATTGGTTATTGTGGCCTTGATTGTGAATGATGGTGTGTAGCCAAAATACAGCAAAGCCTCACTAATGCGATTACAGTTAATCCAGATGTCAGATAATTGGGATTGAAATGTGAAAAATTCTGTTCACAATTGAGTACATACTTTAAAAATCACGTGGGATGGGGCAAGAGGGATCAGACTTTCAGACTGTGTTGAGGGTAGCTGGAGAGACTGAAACCACTTACTTACTCATGGAGCTGAGCCTTTCTTGAGGAGCTGCCAATTCTGCAGCTACTCAAGAATTTCCCAGCATTTTATGGAACCCGAAGGTTCATTACCGTGTTCACAAGAGCCCTCCACAGGTCCCTATCCTGAGCCAGATCTATCCACACCACACGAGAAAATATACAGGATTGGCTTCAGCTGGATGAAGGAGACCTTGGATTTCAGCTTCTTATCTTTTAGAGTTTTTAAGTAAAGGCTCTACAACTACATTTTTTGTTTATTTTCATTAGCACTACCTATGTTATTAAATTTTCCAGTTATTTCTTTTCTAAGTTTTTTTTTTATCTTTTAGGGATATATTTGGCTTCATGACTACACATATCACTTAACCAGGATGACCTCTCCCCTTCCCCAATTAATCAGGAATAGCAAGGGTGGCCTGTTTAAAGACACTGTACCAATATGTTCATAGAGAGACTCTTCATGACTGAGATTTGAACCCAAACCCTAAAATATAAAACACATGGGCCAACTGCTAAACAGTGAAGTTCAATTCCATTTTATGAGCTACATGACACACTGTCATTACATACGATGTGTGCAGGCCTGCACATGCAAGTTCTCATGTCTGCTGGCTGACAGAGCTGATGTCAGAATCTCAATTTTTGCTTTCAGTAGGTTACATAGGATTTGCCGCTCGGTGTAGACAAATGTCATTAGATAATACTTCTTCCTTCAGTGTTTCCACTTCACGTGCATCGCTTGGCTATCAGGCCTTTCCGTGTGTCTCTGTCTTCCTCAAGCTGCTGTCTTTGCTTTCTCACCATGTCCTTCCTTCCACATGACAGCTTTCCTAACCTGTTGTTGCCTTCTTGACTTCTGTCTCCCTGGTCAGTGTTTTCATTTTAATTTCACATTCAGAACCTTCTTTGGGGTACTGTCTTTATTGATCCTTAAAATGTGCACATAACACCTCATTCCGTTATTTACTGCTGTACCTTCCAAAGTATTTATGTTTACATGTTCATTTCCTAAGAGTTTGAAAGTTTGTAGAGAAATATTTCTGTGCCTGTACATTTATATGCAGTGTGGAAGAGCAGACAGGGGTTATAATTTTCTCCTAAAAAGACTGTGCACCAAAGGTGGTGATTGACATGTACAAGTGCTGTGTTCCATCACATGTCACTGAATTTCAGGAAACCAGAGAAGTTGGCCGATGGTCGGCGTGTGCGTGTAACAGTGGAGGTGTTTGGTAAAGGCACTTTCAAAGGGATTGGACGCAATTACCGCATTGCTAAGTGCACGGCTGCGAAGTGTGCCCTGAAGCAGCTCAAGAAGAAGGGGCTTCTCTCCAGAAAACTGTAACGTCGCTGTAGCACTATGTAAGTAGAACACAAAGCTATGGAGTAGAGACCCCCTTGAGGTCTCTGTTCTAGTCAAGGAATTTCTTCTCATCATTTGTCGAAGACTCGGAAACAAGCAACAAGGACATTTGTTTTAGTTGTCAGGTAGGGCCAGTGCAATAATTTTGTTTTGTGATGTCTGTGGTATGTGGAAGCCTTTGGAAGTGAAATTCTGAAATGTTTCATTACGATAATGTGAAATGTATGTTTTGCGTCAGGTATTGGGTTTCAGAAAAGGTGCTTGTTGGTGATCTTTATAATAATTTTAATTAAAATAATCGTTTTGGAATCAACTTCTGCGCATGAGTTCACACTTGTGCCACACAGATTTAGGCCTGTACTTGCTTTTACTGTATCTTGTTTATTTTTATTGTATTTTTTGACAATGTGGTAAGACTGGATACAGAATTAACTGGCAAGAGACAGTTTATTCTGAGATATGGAGTCGTGGTTGACAATATGGAATGTCTTTTGAGGATGTTTTATAAATGGACCACAAAAGTTATCATGAAGGAATTAGGTGATGTGTTACAATTTGTACTCCTGTAATTCCCACCAAACCATTTTATTCTTCTTCATTTGTTTGTATGAATTTTTTACATTTATTTTTGTGTTACTTTCAAGATCATTTCACTCAAGGTGTACTGAACCTTATACAAAATGTGTTGTATTGGTGGTTGTTTTTTGTAGTGTGATGAAGCAAGGTCATTTGTAATCTCTCCAGTAGGTGGTCAGCTGTAAATAGGAAGCAGGGCCCATTTTTATGATCACCACAGGATCTCAATTCAGATGCACTGTTTTCCAAATATAGCACTTCTGGATAGTGTCTATTAAAATATTTTGTTCAAATAAGTAGGTTATTTCATCTATTCAGGACAGAATTTCAACCTTTAATGTTATTCATTAGGAATATGTGAGAATCACTTTTTCAGTTTGAGGTGAGGTTGAGACAGGAATTTTAAAAAATTCCAGAATCAAAATGAGGATGAGAATTTCTTTACTAGACCAGCTTTTTTTCTTTCTTCACAATTTATATAACAGTGGCCACTCTTTCTCTGTGCACTACCTATCCCTTATGATATCAGATCATTTTTGAATAAACAATTTTCATAAATCATTATGAAAGTTCAAACAAAAAGTATTTATCTCATGGTATTTTAAGTTCAGTGTTGAGTTGAGGAACACAATGGTAATGGAATCCAGTATTAAAATTTGTCTTTTTAACACTTCGCGGACTGGTGATTTAAATATTTAAATCACCCTGGGTACCGGCATTTTTAAACCTACTACCGTAACTTGTGCACTGTTCACTTTAAAAATTAATATAAAATCTCCTAGTTAATTTTATGAACTAAAATTTTTGGAGAAGACTTACCAGAGCTCCTAGAAGTGCTTCAGAGTGTGATATTTCTGGAAACATTCCCCTCTGTGAAGAGGCATGACACAGAACTTGAAGACATAGGAAGTCTTGCTTTTCTTCTTGTGCACAGCGCACACACGGCACTGCCTAGAAGGATACTTCCCCATCGATTGTTCGCTCATCACAATTTTCACGAGGGTATGTTTCCACATATCACCCGAGAGTCACCCAGGGGCCTCCGTGGGGTGGGAGTAGATGGTGTCACCACGTTTCAGGGATTTACATTCCTCTTTCAGATCTGGAGGAAGGCCTCTGTTCACCCTAATTGTACCACAAATATGTACTTTCCTTGAAAGTTGCAGTTGCAACGCTGTTATAAAAATTATCTTGATAAACGTGATAATTTTGATCCAGATAGGGATCCAAAATGGAAACAATAGTTTCTTGCAATTTCTTGCCTTCACCGGAATAAATTTCTAAATTTCCAATATAGCCTGAAGTGCTTTCCGTGACTACATGAACAAGTAGGCCATACTTGTGAGTTTCCCAGGATTATACGTTCGAAAACAAAGCCTTCCCCTCCAAGGAATCACAGATTCGTCCAAAGACAGTTGCTGCTCTGGCTTGTAAACTGTCTAAAAATTTCTCAACGAAAAAGTCTAATAAGGGCTGAATTTTGAAAAGCCTGCCCGTTGATTGTGGTTGCAGTTCATTATTATTGAAATGCAAACACCACCATATCTGTTCAAATCTCTTACGACTCATGAGTTTGCCGAAAATGGGAATTTCTAAAAATGGGTCAGTGGACCAGTAGTCTTTCAAATTATCCCTCTTTGTAAACCCCATTAGAATGATTATTGCCAAAAATTTTTTTCATTTCTGCTGAAGTGACATCCACCCACTTCAACACCTTATAGGTACTGTCGTACACCTCACGGTGTTGGAGATAGTATCTGTTGGTCTCCTGACACAACATATCAAAGAAACGATCTCCAAAAAACAGTTCAGCTACTTCAAACACTTCCGTAGAGTCCGATGGCATTTGTCTCACCCCTGGATCACCAGTAAACTTTCCCAAAGTGGGTGTTTTGTCCACTTTACCCCATGTGGCTGTCCCCGCAATGCTAGCACTCGCACTTTCATCGGAGCTCTCACTGTCACTTTCACTTTCTCTTCTGGTCTCGCGCGGCCTTCAACTGCTTTCGTCTCTGAGCCATGTTGACACTGAGAATATCTTGCCTCACACATAGAAGCTTCGATTTGAACAAAGGGGCTTTTCTTTAGAGTGAGAGGGGAATAGAGAGTGGTCACGTTGCTGACTCGGAAAACAAACATTCCGAAGATCAGCTACGCAGTACCTTTACAGACACGTGGCCACCAAAGCGAGGAATAGCGTGTTGCAACATAACGTGTCCTAAAAGCCTAAATCTAGGTGACCGGTCTTCCATGTTTAAAACCCAAACGCCTAGGCCTAGGCGTCCGGTCTGCGAAGTGTTAAGATTGTGGTATTGTGGGGTATGCTTGGCTTGGTAGGTAGATATCAGTGGTTTGAAGGAACCTGCTGCCCCATCTACAGGGTAGACCATCAGCTTGGAGACAGGCTGGCTCATTTGAAGTGTTGACACCTGCATGGTCTTGACACTGCTCCCAGAACCTCAAATAGTACTTTTCATTTATTTTGATCATTTTATTTCACAAGTTGCATAACAGAAATATGATTAATGAACTGCTGTTATTGACAGTTTTACGTGTTCCATATATTATTGCAGTGATACTCCTGTAGTAGGAACTGCGTAGCAGTATCATAATCATGTATTACAGATTAGCATTGTTTGTGGAAAGTTTTGTTGTAATTTTTTGGCAGGGAAGGGGGCTAAATCCACTTGGTACGTTGGCCAGTGACTGGCCTATTGTACCAGGCTCGAGTGATGGATTAATAGAAATATTGGGTAGAATGAGAATTGGCAAGGAAAACCGAGGTACTTGGAGGAAACCTTCCCCAGTGCCACTTTGTCCACCATGAATGCCACATGACGTGACCTAGGGTTGAACCTGGGCCGTTGTGGTGGGAAGCCACAACTGACTGCCCGAGGTATGGCACAGCCTTTGTTATAATTGAATCCACTGTTTCAGTTCACACATCTCTATATTTTGCTTGCCTCAGAATGGTGATGACAACTTCATTCTAAGTGCTTATAGTTCAGATGATGATAGGCATGTCACTTTTTTGCCCTGATATCAGCAGATCTCACATTCAAATGATGAAACCCAGTTGCATCATGTCCAGTTGTATACATGTGCGTGCTATATCTAATCTCCGTCCGTATCATGTCTGAAGTTGTGGCATCTTGAACAATCGTAGATATCTTATATCGGAATTGGGCGTTGTTCGTATTATACACACACACCATTATCAGACATTTGTGACAGAATTAAGTTCACATTTTATCTAGTAATTCCTGATGGCGATTTTATCTTACATAATATACAAGGGTCTTTTAATCAGTGCAGTAGTTTCAAACCACGCCCATTGTTTCTGTTTGACTTTCCTACACACTTGAAGGTCATTTGTTTATCTTATCAGTGTGAGCTGTAGATGATTATGTTCTGGTATTACTTTAAAGAGACTTCTGTTTCTCATATATTTAGTAAATTAAGCAAACTTGCTTGGTTATTATAGTTCATAAGATTCCTCCTTTCTGTTAAGACATTAGCAGTAGCTAACTTTATGATACAGCAAATTGTTCCTTGACACTTGTGTAATATTTACAAGGAGAGGAACTGAATCGTGTTGTGTTCAAGGTCCTCACAACAGTAACTGTGAAGAGTACTTGTTGTCATCTGGGATGGAACGCTGTGTAGTCCAGCTATGTAGTATGTAGTTCATTACCATGTTCACAAGAGCCCTCCACTGGTCCCTATCAGCCAATTCAATCCAGTCCATACCACCCCAGTCTGGCTCTCTAAGATACAACTTAATAATATCCTCCCACCTATGCCTAGGTCTTCCTAGTTGTCTCTTTCCTTGTGGCTTTCCTACCAGAATCCTATATGCATTCCTCTTCTCCCTAATGCATGCTACATGCCCTGCCAATCATATCCTCCTTGACTTGGTCATTCTAATTATACTTGGTGAAGTGTGCAAGTTATGAAGCTCCTCATTATGCAGTTTTCTCCAACCTCTGTCACTTAATCCCTCTTCAGTCCAAATATTCTCCTCAACACCCTGTTCTCAAAAACCCTCAGTCTATGTTCCTCCCTTAATGTCAGAGACCAAGTTTCACACCCATACAGAACCACAGGCAAATTATAGTTTTGTATATTCTAATGTTTACATTTTTAGTCAGACTACTTGGAATGGATTGTGCCTTGCCTGAATGGTCATATCCTGATTGATGAATGTCTGGTTACATCTTTGTTCATATATTGCGTTGTAAGGAACAATTAGATACTGACAGCATTGTTATTTAGGCCATACATATAAACCATCAGCTTAGGATTAATGTTCTATCTTTCTAATGGACTCCTTTGTATAGTTCCCTGGCCACTGTTTCACTCGATAATGGAAAGAGGTAAAATTTCCAAAATTTGTTCAGAATACCTGATGCTGGACAAAGTGTAGAATCCAAGTAATGCTAATTGAAGTATTGTGTAAACTCTGATTATTATATAGTTTCAGATATGTACATTTTATTTTGTGCCATATGCGTACATTATTCTGACAAATCACAGGTTAGGTTTCTCCCTTGTATGTACATTAATAGACTTTAGTGCCTTCAGATACAATTATGCACATAATCTATGCTGTCACATTTCTCTTGTGTCAACAAGAAATTGCTTCAAAACATTGAAGTCTCATGGTGTATGACATAATTTTCCATTGGAGGTTTAGCACGTGCAAGGTTAGTACTATGTTAATTCATGGACATACTATGGCTGAAGCAGTTAATCGTGACTGGCTTTTCACTACATAGACCCAGGTTTAATCTCAAGGTAGTACATGTGGGATATGTGATACATGAAATGCCACTGGCACAGGTTTATCTCCAAGCACTTTAATTTACCCTGCCAGTTATCGTCCTGCTACTGCTTCATACACAAAGTTCTACAGCTGTCTGCCATTCACTATGAAACATGTTCTCTATATAAGGTATAAGATTTTCACAACATTGAAGGTTCATGTCGCAGACTGTCAGGGTATGACACTGTGTAGTCTGGTCGGTGGGTACCAACCTTCTTTCTTTAGGCTGGATATGATACCCACTTCTTGGACTGCATGATTGTACAAGCCAGAATGCCAAGCAAGGCAACAGTGAATCAAACACAGGTCTGCTTGCTGTATGATGGGGGAGACTGTTCCTCTGAAAACATTGGTGACTTTCTACTGGTGAACATGGCTTTACATCCCAGAAGCCAGTATTCATCATGGTCATCACTGCGAGAAACTCAGATCCAGGAAACCTGATTAAATTACAGCTTTCCATTCTTCATTAAAAATTTGTCCATTTCATGTGTTCGTGTAAGGAGCATTTTAACATTCACCTTGTATGGTTACAGTCCAGAAGTTTCCTATATGCCCATTGGAATTTTACAAAGTAAAAATTCTAAGTAAACTAGCTGACTTTTCAGCTTTTGTACCATCTGTATGCAACCTCGTTCACTCTTGTTTCTTCATATTCCTTTATTAGACATTAAACGTTCCGGCTTAACTGGCCACCTTCAGGTATACAGGTCCTTATGGTTAAGGATTCCGCTGCCCATTGTAATGTGGCTTTCTTTCCTCTTGTTTTAGTTTCCTCTGGTTATTTGGTTATGTGGGTTATCATCAGTTTTATTTGGGTGTCCTTGGGTTGCACATGGTTGCTTTTCTGTAATGTGTAATGTGCTATGTCAGCTTTTTAACAGTATATATTTGTG